TTTTAGAGCATATGCCCTTGAACGAGCTGGAAACATCCTGACTACCATTGTGCTTATAAAGCCCTTTTCCCCCCTTCATTTGAAGTCCTTTGTGTGTTTGACCAGCAGCTCATCATTTTCAACAAGGTCTTGTTGAGCTGCATGTGTTAATCCTTAAGTCAAGCACGATTCTTGCCTTGGCAGAGGAATTAAGGAGACAAAGTTTAATCATACTAAGTGAGTAGAGTCAAATCCAGTTGTTGAGTGTACTGGTTTTCCAGTGACATGTTATGAGGAATTAGGATTAGTGGAATGGGAAAGAGGGTGGGTCTTTCCAAAGTGATAGGATGTTGAAATGGGCCTGGCTGGACGGAATCATTCCGGGCTCAGCCAGCATCTGCTGCTGTGGCACACAGACGAGTCCAGCTGAGCTGATGCTCGTTCCTGATTGGCTTTAGGAAGCGTTCTGTCTCCCTCTCTCAGCCCAGATACTGTGCTGGTTAAACCCCTTCAGACTGACACCGAGTTAACTGTCCCATTGAATTGGGGTCCTTAGCTAGTCCTCTCAGAGAATGTTCCCCTGCTGGTTCCGTATCCCCTCCTGATTTGATTGTGCCTTCAGTCTGTAGGTAGTTGACAGTGACAGTACAAACAGGAAGCTGTGCCTGGAGAGTCACGGAAGACCTTCTGGGGCCAGGTCAGCCTGCTGTGCCAGCTTCCTCGAACCCTGTCGCTGAACTTGTTTGTAGTAGCAAGCAGCCCACAAGCCCACGTGTCTGAAGCTTGCTTCGGCTCAGCTTGGTCTCATCCACCCTGTTAGCCACGTTCGCTTGATGTCACATTCTGGGAGCGCAGTGACAGAGCAAAGCTTCCATGTGACCTTATTTGTAAGACTTACGAAATACCCACAGTGTCTGTACGTCTGTGTTTGTGTTCGAAAGTTGTCCACATGTATCACCAACAGTTACACAAGTCGGGAGAGGAAAGAAAAAATCTTGGAAATCAGCCTTCTCTTTTCCATTTTACTTATTTATTCATTTATTTATTGTCACCCCTTCCCTTGGAACGTTGTCATAGGTATGACTTTATGGTATAACTAATTGAATATTTTTACTTTACTATGTTCTCTTCAAAGCATGCCTCTCTTTGGCCACTTATTCGTAATTTTCATTTTAACCTCTGCATAATTCCTATGAACTTGATGTGCTATAATTTACTGACCTATCATCCCCCATTTGGAAATTCATCATTTTGTCTTTGTTTGTTATAAGAGAAAATGTGCTGTGATCAGCTACTTCCTTTGCTATATTCAGAAAGACAACAAACCTTTCTTTGCCTCCCATCTTTAGAGGTTGTAGATTAATCTTAGTTGTTACATTAGATGAAAGTGCATGTTAATCTGTAATTCATGAAGACAGTGCTCCATGGAAAGAATTTAACTCTCAGTATCAGACAGTACAAGTTGTTCGTGAGTGTCCTTGAATTGGAAAAGAATGTTTCTAGGCTTGAACTAAGATGACACATTCTAGGTGAAGGAGCTGTGGCCGAGAGCGAGTATTCTGACATCCGCCGAGCTGTGAGCGGTTCATCTGGGCTGGGAAAGCACACAGCTTGTGCTCTATGCACAGGAGCTGAAGTCCTGGTAACCACCAGGCCAGGTACAGGCTGAAGCTGGGCTAAGCAGTGTAGTCATGATCCAAACGCTTCCAGCTGATGGGTTGTTGGTGTTTGCTTTTCCTGAAGCATTTTGTCATGGTGCCATCCATGGAACATGAGGTCTGACTGCACATGAACAAAGGAAGGACCGCCTGGTGTGGTGCCCCTGTGCCAGTGAAGGGATAGCAGAGCATTTACAGTTAGCAGCCTGGGCCAGAAACCCTGTTGATTTCCTGTGACAGCGGTAGAAGCATTATAAGGTGTCTCAAGGCTTCTAGGCTTTGGGCACACCCATCACAGGAGCCCAGTGACTGTGGAAAGTTTTATTATGATGTTTTCCTTTCTCCGGTGATCCATGACTCTGCCTCAGTTTTAGGATGTAGTTCTGGTAGAATTAAAATTGAATGGCTCAAAAGTACATGATTAATTACATTCAGTTTCAATTACAAGTATTGATCCCAACTGTTGGTGTGGCCCCCAGAGGAGAGGACTTGCCAGCCTGAGCAGCAGCAGTCAACAGTGTATCCTCATTAACCCTTGTCGTGGCTCGTTTGGCCCAGTTTCCTGTTCTTCCTGACACCTGACGTCTCCTGCTCACTTTGACAGACTGCCTTGTTTTCTGACATGTGGGCCAGGAAGAAAGCTCAGTGGGTGTGAGCACTTGACCCACAAGCCTGAGAACCTAAATTCCAGTCTCTAGAACAAATGCAGAAGCCAGATGTGCAAGCATCTGTGATCCCAGAACTTCTATGGAGGGAGTGGAAGGAGAGACACTAGAAACCCCAGAAGCTCATGGGCCAGCTAGCCTGGTGTCCACAGCGGGAAAACAACAGATACCCTGTCTTAAACAAGGCAGAAGGTGAGGACCTACTCCTGAAAGTTCTCCCCTGACCACCATTCCAATACTGTGGCACGTG